GGCCCCTCGGCGGTCGTGAAATATGTCAGAACAGGCGCAATGGTGTGAAACGTCCCTCCTCCCCGGCTTAAAGCGGATTTTATTTTATTTTATTTTACGTTTTAGCAGACGTTCTCTGCCCGTGCCTCACACCAGCGCGCGGCAGAGCCACCCATCCTGCAGACGTGGCCATGCGAGGCCGGGCGGCAGAGCCGAGGTTTCCTCCTCGGCCCCGGCGGCGGCTGCGCTACAGGATTCTGGCAGCGCATCAACAGGAGAGGGGTTTTTTTCTCGTAGATTTCCCTGTAAGGATTTGACCTAGAGCAGTGGAAGCCTAGACCGTTAGTCAGCATGTTTAGTCATGAAGCAAACATTTCTCTCTACCCTTCTGGAGGACGGTTTCCAGATGGCAGCTCAGATCCATCTCCTTGAAAACACAGCCATTTAGAAACAACGCTTTGTATTTGGAAAATCAGATCTGCATCAGATCTGTGGTAATGATGTATAGCTTTTCTCACAAATAAGTCCGCCGGGACTAGGAGTCCCCGGACTCTGTAAAGCTAAGGCTTTATGATCCATCAATCATTTGAACAGAAATGTCTGTACATGGGATATTTAGAGAGATGAACTGCAGAAGGTCTCTATGGAAACAGTTTAGCTGTAGTGCATCCACGGGAAACAACAACCCATACTATTCTGGATAGAAACATGCTGGCTGTTTTGTTGTATTAATAATAATTTTGTATTGCCATGTTGTTACAAATGCTTTCCTCTGTATTTTGCCTTTATTTCTTCAGATGTGGTATTCATTACCCCCAAAGGCTGTACTTAATCTAGAATAAAGAAGGAAGAGGAATACCTAAGACAGATGTTGTAGGAAAGGAGCAGGAATAACAACTCAGATGAGACGGAAGAGAGAATCCTACCCTCTATATGGGTAGGATTAAGAAGGATGAAAAAGGTAAAAGGCTACAAGAGAATTCAAATGGGAGGATCATTTATGTGTAAACTACATGAACAGGTTTTAAGAACCTGCTGGTGAATTAATGAATCTTTGGTGCTTCCAAAAAATAGGTTATTACTGTCCTTCCAGTTTCAGAAGTGTGAAATCTGTCCTTCCAGTTTGAGAAACGTGAAACTGGAGCAGAGAGTGCGAGTCAGTGGCTGGTGCAGGTTTAGACTGCCAGCACGAGAGTCGCAAAGCAGGAGATGGTGGTTCTTGGTCGTTGCCTGGCTGCACTTGTCGCCTGCACTGTCGCCTACAGATGTGTAATTTGGCTGCTCCTTTACATTTTCAAAGCTACGTGCAGGACGGAAAAGGACTAGAAAATACGTCTTAAATTGAGGAATCCTTCCTGCTATTTTCCTGTAACATTTCAATATTCCTGTGCACCTAAACTTAGAAAGGGGTAAGACTGACCATGGAATATGGGCATATAAAGAAGCGACAGGAGAAGAAATTGACTTTAATAGATGCAGACAGCAATATCACAAAAATAGTGCAGAGTAAAAAATAGAGACATCACAGGCTAAATATAGGTAGGCGAAGTTACCATAACCGAGACTGGAATTTGGTCAGATAAGTAGCATTGTTCAGTCTATTCTTTCAAAAAAAATTGCTCTGGAATTTTTTATGACCACAAAGAAAGTGCCCTTTGAGCTCAGCAATGCCCTCTGCAACAGCTTCGGCCTTGTAATGATTTAGAAGAGCGAGCCCTGCCAACCTGAGCAACAGACGTTTTCTTTGTGTCCTGGGAAGCACAAAGAAATGTTTGTTTTCTAGGCAAATCCATAGCCATTCCATCCTCATGTTCTGTGAAATGTAGTAAGGTTGTGAGTTGTACGTCACAAGAGCCCAAAAAGGACTGTTTCTTGATATGTCTTCTTTTAAATATCCAGATAGGGAAGTCAGAGGCAAATATCTCCTAAATTATCAGGATATTACATATACAGGATATTCCTGTTTTGTTCAGTTCCAGCCACTTTCCATTCCAAAGACTTTATCAGTACAACATTTAAAGAATGAGTTATCTGTTATGAACATGAAAAATAAAGGAAATATTATTGTTATAATCACATTTTAAAAACAAGAAAACTCACCAGCCAACACTGTGCAACGCTGTGGGACAGCATATTTAAATTTCTAGGCTAAAAAAGTAAATTGGGAGCAAAAAACATTACTCCAAACTGTTCTGTACTCCCCTCCAGGTAATCTCTTAAAGTAGAGGAAGATTGTATAGCTTACAAAATTTAGAAATGTTATAGCAAAAGAAACGGTTAGCAGCTAAAATTGGCTGGGTTTCAGCACAGCCTGATTGCAATGAGGAGGGAGAACCTACACTGAATTATTTTCTGTCAAAATCACTGCAAGTCAACACAGAATCCAGAAGGTATAACTGAAAGATCTATTTGCATTGCATTATTTATCCGTAAAGGTGTGAGCACAATTCCACTGTGAGGTTGCAGTACCTAATTGCCCTTATTTTCTCTAGCTTTAGCCATGCAACCTGGCTGGTACTTTGCATTCTGTGCTGTCGCAGGGGGCAGTTCTCACTGTGAGCAATTCATAGTGCTCTGTGGTCAGATGGGCTGCAGAGCTGCTGCCCCTCGCTTGTGATTGCTCCTCATTTAGAGGAAGCCCCAAGATGATCTAAAAATGTCCATCTCTAGCAAGACCTTTAGAGTGCAAAACAGTGCAATGAGGTTTCATTTTAATAACTGTAGTCACATATGTGCTGGTATTATTGATGCGCTTCAATTAAAATTTGTTTGAATTAATCGTTCTCGTTTGGGAGACATCCCTTCAGTCAAATTTGAACTAGGAAAGAGAAGAGCTTCCGTGGCCAAGGAGATTTCTTACAGGTTCCTTTTCCCTGAGAAATCAGTTCTGGAAAAAGAGCAGGCAATAAGGAGGCTCCTCTCATGATGGAGGGCAGGTTTCAAGAATTCCCAGTGCCACAGGACACATTTTAGACAAAGAGTGGAAAGTGGTGACCAGTGGGAAAAAAATCCACTCTTAGGAAGTTTTCTAAACTCAAATTGGACCCGTGTGAAACATAAAGCTTATGTTTATCACTTTAGTGATATGTTTCCTTTGGTATTAATTATGGAAACGGGAGTTTATTCGTTTGAATTACAGCGAACATGCACGTTTTGATTATTTCATGCCCGGGGAGGAAAGGAGCCGGCAGTCCCAGCTTCGCCCTGTCTCGCTGCTTCATCCTGCGCAGGCCGCAGCATCTCCCTGCCTCAGCTTTTCCATGTGCACAGGGACACCGTCACGCCTCCCTTTGGGAAGCACGAGTGGAAAGCACACGGCCTTGCTGCTTAATGCCCTACTTCAGAGGAGATTTTAAAAGCCGCTGTCTGGTTTTCGTTTTTGACACAAGAACATACGATTTTCAAAAGCTATAAAATTCCAAGGGCCTTTTTCTTTTTTTTTTTTTTTTATAGGAAGAAAGAATTTCTTCGGTATATTTGCATGCAGTGCACTAGAGGGCCCTCAGGAGTTAGAAATGGATGGAATGTGCTTTTAGAAGGCACATACTTCAGAGGACTTTTCATTACAGAATTTAAAATAGAAGTTTTTTTTTTTTTTTATAATGTGAGGTTCATGTAAGTTTATAGCAGTTCGTATGCAAACAACGTCTGAGTACAGTTAGCTTCCTAACAGTATTCAGCTTGCAACGAAATACCAAAAATGTGGACCATGCTTCAAAATGCAATATGTGCTAGAATACTTGGAGAACGTCAGCTTTTACTAAGTTATTTGTATTAACCTAAGGAATTTACCAGAACAAAGGATGAGACAGGCTGAATAGGTAAGAGATTCTTTTTTCCTGTAATAAGGATACAATGTGTACTTACTCTATTTTTGTTCCTTTGACAGGATGTATAAGTCACTACAATTTTATTTGAAAAACTGCAGCCAGATCCTATTTTATGGCTTCACAAGTCTGTAAAGCTTAACCATCTTTCACATTTAATTTGGGCTTATGAAGTGTATGAACTGTATTCATTTTAAACCAGGGAAATCTGGCACTGCTAATACTTTTTTTTTTTTTTTCCAGTGTGTGAATATGTGCATTTTAAACTGCTAAAGTTACTGGTTAGCTAATTGTGTATAATTTGTATCTTTGATATATAACATGAGGTGTAGTGAGGACTTTGTCTCATAAGAGAAAGAGGATGGTGATCTGGGCTTGATAAGCTTTTCTTCTAATGCTGGAATACAAGTGAGACTGCCAGTTAAGCCTGCATTTTGTGATGTTGGTATGTAATTAATACTGTAATTAGAAAGTGAAAGATGTGTACTAGCATGTCTCTAGATGCATACTGGCTCTCAGCTGGAACTTCTCTGTGTCTCTTAAATATCAGCTTTGCAGATGCTGTATTACTTATATGCATAATGAAATGCTCCTAGTGATTCTTTTCTTTTTGGCAGTTTCAAAGGGGAACTTCAGCTATTTTAAAGCACAAGTCAGTCAACTTTGCTTACGTAGTTGCCTCCATTCATTCCCTGAAGCCAATCGCTTCCCCCGTGGCGGCTGATAAGAACTGGACAGCTTGCTGAGGTGGAGTGTCAGCATCCTTAGTACTGAGCACATTCCCAGGCACGTCGGTAGCCTCTGTCCATCACCCATGCTGGAAGCTGCTTGGAAAAGGAGAAGTAGAAACCGGGGAAGGGAAACCATGCATCATCATCCTGGCTGGAATGTACTGAAGACTTTATGCTTTTTTCATCATGTGGATTCGCTAGAGAAATGACCGTGTTTGATCAGCCAGGGAAGACCAAAAACTGGTTAATTTGCCCCCTGTGCCCACCACGAGTGCTGAGGCTCTGGCCCTGCAGGCGCCCGAGGACAAGGAGGAACCTGCTTGTGGGCACAGCCTGTGTCATCTACCTGGGCTTCCTCGTCAGTCAAGTGGGGCACGTCTTGCCCCAGCACAAAGGAGGACCCTCAAAGACCAGCTCCAGGAGTCTCCAGGATGCGGCCCGAACTCCTTTCCTGGGCATCCCGCTGGATGGCACCCTCTCACCACCCAACCTCCAGGAGCCCCAGCTGGGTGGCAATGGCACCTCGGAGCCCCCCAACGTGGTGTACATCACCCTGCGCTCCAAGCGCAGCAAGCCTGCCAACATCAGGGGCACCGTGAAGCCCAAGCGCAGGAAGAAGCGGCCACCGCGGGCCGGGCTCGCTGGAGGCCCCCGGGCCTTTCTGGGGGTGCGAGGGCACAGCCGCAGGCCCAGGAAAGCAACATCCGGATTTACAGCAAGAGCTCTCCCTCTTGGCTGAGCAAAGACGACATCCTGCGCATGCGTGTGCTGGCAGACGCTCCCATCGAGAGTATCCGAGAAGGCCCTTCCCATAATGGAGTCCTGGTAGCATTTGGGAAGGGCTCCCGCTCCCCGGGAGCCGCCTGCGATCACGGGCACTGCGGCATCATCAAAAGACCCCTTGACATGAGCGAGGTGTTCGCCTTCCATTTGGATAGGATCTTGGGGCTCAACAGGAGCCTGCCTTCCGTAAGCAGGAAATCGGAGCTCTTCCCAGGTAACGCATTCCGGTGGTTTTCAGCTTCCAGGTGGGGTGCTGAGGTTTCCCTCCCTTTCCCACGTTAACAGTGGGATGGCAGCAGGCTTTTAACTCCTGCTAGGCTGAGAACTAATCCTGTTGTTACAGCAAGTTAAGCTGATAGCAGGACATAACTTCCGCAGTGGTATTGTCCAGTCCAAAGGGATGCAACACCCTCAAGCTTACTCAATAGAAAACTAATTCCTATCTCTATATATTCATCTCTCAAATAAATGGTAGGAAAGAAGTTTTGTAAGTAATCAGAGAAGCTGCTCTGAGAGGTGGGGGAAGTTCCTGAAGCAGATTAATTAATGCAGCTCCAAGGGCACTACTGCCCCCGGGAACTGAAACATGGAAAAAGGTCTTCCCTCTCCCCTCGTAATACAAAAAGGTTCCTCTATGTCACTGAAACCTGCTTGACATTTTGAGATGTGTTACATATATCTACACACATTTATATTGCCTAGGCAGAAATACACACAACAGACATTGGAATATGCTTGTAGCATGGCTCTTGTAAAGAGATTTCAATTAAAAACTTGATTTTTGTCCTACGCTGAAATTAAGGATAGATTTTAGACATGCAATGTGAGATAGAAATAACCCTACTCCTAACGTTGCTATCTTGTTAAACATGTCCTCAGCCTGTTATTTTTATACGTCACAAATCACAATCCAAAAGGACTACATTGTATTTTAATGAATCACTGCTAAAGTGGGTAGCTATTTGTTTTTGCTGTTCGTTTGTTGCTGCTGAAATTAGCTTATACAAAATATTTTCAATATTAGTCTGCATTTCTTCAAACAAAGGGGCAAGGCCAGAATGCCTTTCTAAAATGGGACAGCCGGAAGGGGACCTCGTGGCCCCTGCTTTGGTGCTGCCTTGCGAGCCTTCCCTTTGGCAGCCTGCACGGCAGTGTGAATGAATCTCTGGGAATAAGAGCGCGGCGGCTTCGGAATGTTGTTACCAGTGGCAGGGCAGGGAAGATCCGATGTGCACAGGTTGCTTTAGGAGCAGGGTGGGCTGTGGTGGAGCTGCCCTGAGCACCTCGGAGCCGCGCGAGCCGCCTGCTGCCACCCCCAGCACTCCGGGGCACAGGGAGCCTCCTTCTGCTCCCTGTAATTCCCTTTTCCTCATAACTGCTGCGTTCCTATAGCAAAAGGAGTGTTGCTAGGTGATGAGGAGGGAAATAACATGTCTTATTTCAGTCTCGTTTCATTTTTTCCAGCTAAAGGGTGAACAGAGGATTTGGAACGGTTGCTGTACCTTGTCTCTCCCCATTCCTTTAGCCTGGAAACATGCGGGAGCTCACACGCCTCCTATATAGTTGAACTCGTTAACATTTGCATGCTTTTATTTGGCATAATCTCTTAAATGGGCTATACATTTTAACAGCACCTTTGTGAAAATGAACGAAAATATGTCCTTAAAATCAATGTGAACAGTGAACAAGTCTGTTTCTATAACACATTCAAGTTTAGATGGACACTCCAAATGTTTTTACAGGGCTGCTCGTGTGAATCATGGTTTTCATATGGGAAAGAAAACAACCCGGGATTAGAGGCCGTGCCTGTGTATGGACACAGCTCCCGGGCCGACGTATCCCCCTCCGTGACAGCTCCCTTTAGCTTGCCTCGGTGGTGATGTGATATACTGGGACATGCCTGATGCAGCATTAAAACCTTAAAAAATGGGCTTCTCAAAACTGCCGTGCGTTTGTCGAAAGCACTTGGTAATTCCCGGTACAGATTTGGCTGCCTTTATTCCCACAATTCCCCCACTTTTTTTTTTTTTAAAGTCTGACACAATATTGAATGCAGCTGCCATTCTGTCTACTGCATTCTCTGGTAAACTTTAAACCCTTTGCAGTGTTAACTGCATGGGTTTTTAAGACTTATCTACTGCACGTGGACAGAAGAATCTGGCAGGATAACTGTTTTGCTCATTTTTATGAATGATTGGGCAAATGTAAGAAGCCTGGGGAACCCTTTTTAAATTTCATGTTACAGACTAAGAAAGCGTGATTCTAGGCACATGCAAACAGATATTGATTATTATCCATGCTAAATGCAGAGGAGTGCCCTGTTCCAGCTAGGAACAAATAAGCCTTGTGGGATCACTACTTGATCACCCAAACCTAAGAAATCAACGAGATTCAACAAAATGACTGTGTTTGGGGTTGGAGCTTGAAAGCACAGCCTGATCCTAGGGAGTTTGCAGAGGAGTCAAGTCAAACGACTGCGCAGGTTGTCTCCAGGCCAGCACCAGTGTTTGCAGAGCAGGACCATATCCGTGCTCCCCAGCTCCACACTGCCAGGGCAGGACCATGTCCATGTCCCCCAGCCCCGCGCTGGCAGGACCATGTCCATGTCCCCCAGCCCTGCACTGGCACAGCAGGACCATGTCCATGTCCCCCAGCCCTGCACTGGCAGGACCATGTCCGTGTCCCCCAGCCCCTCACTGGCACAGCAGGACCATGTCCGTGTCCCCCAGCGCCCACAGCCCTCCAGCCTGCAGGGCATGTGGTCTGTGCAGGAGGAATGAGCCCAGCTGCACTTGGTTCAGGGGTCTTCTATTGCTGATCATGGAAAGCACGGTTCCCTTAGAACAGCTTTTATGTTAAAATGTGCAGGAAGCTGAGTAACACCCACCACGCTTAGTTTTGTGCAAATATATGAAAGCTGTGATAAGATAGCTCTACTGATCAGACTCGTCATTTTGTTTTACTGGCCTCTGTATGATGATAAATGGAACCACAGATTTTTCTCTGTTGCAGCTGCACTCTTGGCCTGCCCTTACCATTCCATCAAAGCTTATGCAAAAGCAGGAGAAAATGAAATAAGTTATTAATATCAGGACAAAGAATAAGGAGAAGCAACACTGCCCAGTGCATTCAGATTGTTCCAAAATGCTTCGATTGATCTGTTCAGGTTGTGTTTTCAACCTGAAACAACTTATGCTATACCCCTTGGAGAGGTACCAGAGGCTATGCATAAATACATGCATACATACATATATATATATATATTTGAGTAAAGAATTCCATGTATGGGCAATAAGGCAGTCCATACTGCATGCGAGCAACTGATGCTCGTTTCACACGCTCCTCAATGCAGACCTCTGCATGCACACAGGAGAGAATACTTGCAAATAAAGCACAGAGGCAAAAAATGCCTTATCTTCTCTCTACCTTCTGTTTCTGTTCCATATATTTTCTTTATCAAAATTTGACCTAAAACAAGCTCTCAAATTAATTCAAGGCATGTATAATTATTATGTATAATTACGTATAATTCATTATGTATAATTCTCCTTCCTCCATGATCTTTATGCCAGTCCCTCTCATCCTATCAGGCTAAGTTATCTCCCAGTATTAATGTGCACAAAATAAATATTTATTTCTAATAGGGCAGTGGGAAACTGTGCTGTGTTACATCAAGATGATGAGCTTGACAGAGCTTTAAGTATCATTTGAAAAATTTTGCTTTTTTTTTATTGAGACTTTCTTGAGCATTTTTGAAGACATTTTTCTTGTGAGAAAGTTAGAGAAAATACTTTGAGTATGCCAGAGTAACATTTGCAAGAGCATCAATATAGTTAAGAGGCACAGCCCATCCACAGTGGAATGGGAATGTCTTCGTGGACACCTCGGGGAAGCAGCTCTGCAGTGAGACGTTAACTGTGAGCAGCACACCAGGATTAGGAAGGAGACACCCTAGGACATTAGGAAGAAGACATGCTAGGACATGAGGAAGGAGACACCATAGGACATTAGGATGTAGACACACTAGGACATCAGGAAGGAGGCACGCTAGGATATCAGGATGGAGACACACTAGGATATCAGGATGGAGACACCCTAGGACATCAGGATGGAGACACCCTAAGACATTAGGATGGAGACACCCTAGGACATTAGGATGGAGACACACTAGGACATTAGGATGAAGACATGCTAGGACATTAGGATGAAGACACGCTAGGACATTAGGATGGAGACACACTAGGACATTAGGATGGAGACACCCTAGGACATTAGGATGGAAACACACTAGGACATTAGGATGAAGACACGCTAGGACATTAGGATGGAGACACCCTAGGACATTAGGATGAAGACACACTAGGACATCAGGAAGGAGGCACGCTAGGACATCAGGATGGAGACACCCTAGGACATTAGGATGGAGACACACTAGGACATCAGGATGGAGACACACTAGGACATCAGGATGGAGACACCCTAGGACATTAGGATGAAGACACCCTAGGACATCAGGAAGGAGGCACGCTAGGACATCAGGATGGAGACACCCTAGGACACACTGGACACTGGGGCAGGCCAGGTCGGGAGGGAGGCACACCCGGACACGCTGGATTGACTCCCAAAGGAGCTGAACCTCCGCGATCCCCGACTCATGGTTAGGCTGAACGTGTCACTGCTCAGTTCACATCAGCCCTGTCCTCAGGAGGTTTAAATCAGAACTCCACTGGCTTCAGTGGGGTAAAGCCAAGTCACGCAGCTGCTAATCACCCCCCTTATCTGTTTTTGTTCAGTATCTCCATGTTTTTCCTGAGAATGTCAGTGGCGTGAGTTACTGCTCTTTACTGCAGCTTCTGTTCCATATTCCTGTAGTACAGTTTATATTACAAAGTTGAAAGGTTTCATTTTGGCTCATCTTTTTTGCTCCCATTTCCTATGAATCACAAACATTTCCTGTATTTAGCCCCGGTATTTTAAAAATCCTTTTTTTTTGTCTTACTGGAAACTGGTAGTATATTGTTCATATTTTTCAAGTATTTATATTACTATTGTTTGTTGTGTCTCTGTGGATAGACGAGGTTCTTTTTTGTTGGAAGACTGTTAATGTATTTGATTTGTGGAAAAGTACAGAAATATTTGTATAAGCTGTTATTAGGGATATGAAAGTAGGTGAGCTTGGGTTCTGAAGTGTTCTCTTTTTTATTTTTTTGAGTGAAATTTCATAACAGTGCTTATGTAGACTTTCTCCAAGCAGCTTGGAGAAGCATCTTAGCCAGTAGCTAAACTGACTTGGCCAAAGTCAATGTCAGTGATGAAGCCAGTGATGAAGTCGGGGTAAGAGAACCCAGAGATGGGGATAGGGCCAGGATTTCTCAAGTCCATATTCAGGTATCTCAGTAAGAGGTTTGATTTGGGATGTTCAGCACTTTTTAGCAAAGAGGGTGATGCAAGGTGCTGATAAAGGTAGTACTGATGATGATAATTATCATCAAATGCATGCAAAAAGAGGTCTGTTCCTAGGAGAGAGGCACTTTCTACACTGCTATTCTGCCTGTCAGTGTGAGATTGATCAGGCTCTGCTGTCAGAAACAAGACTGATCTTCACATATGATTCAGCTGATAATGACGAGGAGAGGTCACTGCTTACCTTGGTTTGGGGTCAGTCGCCATCCTTTGAAGAGGCTGACGTTGACTGGGGTGTGTGCACACTGGTGCTCAGCAGTCCTCCCCGGGGCAGACGGAGCAGGCCCGTTGGCCACGCTGACCTTGCCTTGCTGTTGGCCACCAGGCATTGCTTTCTGCAGGCTTCTCCGAGCTTCCTCGGGTTGCTCTGGCCTTCCCGGGACCTTATGGAAGCTTCTTGCAGATGCCCCTCTGGCTCTGTGAAGCTGTGGAAGGTACAACAGGACACTGGGGCTGTGTGTAGCAAGCCCATGACCCGCATAGCAGTGTGGCCTGCTGGACATAGTTTTGCCACTTCACATGTACATTGATCATTACGATGATTATAGATAAACTCTACAACACCGTGCGTGTTCCAACACCTGCTATTTAGCAAGCAGCTTTCCCAACACGTATTTCCTCCTCTGTATACCAGTGTGTCTTTTCGGGTTTCTATCTGCACTCTTAAAAAGAGAATTATTTTGTTTTAAAGTGCAAGGAACAGTCGGTCCTGGATAGCACGGCAGCAAGAGATGCACTGCAATAGCAATGAAAAGGACAGTTCCACTTCCCCAAGTAGATACATAATGCCTATTATTTGATATTGGGTGAATTATATTTATTAGTTCTTACATAGAAAAAGCCTATTTTAAGTTTTTGTAGAATTATTTTTTTCTGTTAAAAAACTCCACGCCCCAAATACTTGAATTCACCAAAGCTAAGGTGCTTAATGCTTGCAGGCTAGAGCAGAATATTATTTATACAGACTTAAAGAAGTTGGCAAAATATCTGCTGCATAAAACAGATATCGTGTGTATTATAGCTGGGTAATATAAAAATACATGGCTAGGTGTTTATTAATGCTAAGCTCTTTCTCCAGCATTCTCATACATCACTTCTGAGCTGTGAAATCATACATCATGTGGCTAAAATACTAAGGATGACAAAATAAATCCACTTTGAGTGTAGGATTTGTAGTCTTTCTTTGCCACACAGAGGAAGAGCTTTGAGCCAAGTTTTCAGCTCTCATAAACCATCATCAGTCCACGGGAATCACAAGAACTGTTACAGCACTGACTTACAGGCTCTTAATCTACCTACAAAATTTTTAATAGTTTGGTTTAGTATATGATTTTTATATAGCCAGCTCTTGTTTCGAACAGAGAAAGCCTTCTGTACACTGAATTCATTCAGAATGTCTGTTTTTTCCATTCCTGCGGTGGCTGATTTTAGATGTGGAAAAAAACCACATTAACCAAAGGATGTCGAACCATTAGACACTGGCTTTTTTTTTATGCCACATCTGTAAAACATCTGTAAAATGCTATAATTATGGATGTATAAAGAATGATCAGGTCTGACATTATTCCAACATAGTAATGATTCTATTTTTCCTTTTCTCAGACAGTCAAGCCTGCCCTGTTATTCTCTGGGATCCCACACTGAGTCCAACAGATAATTTTACTCATTCTTCACTGAGATTAACGTGGGGAAGATATCAGCAACTTTTGAAGCAGAAATGCTGGCAGAATGGTAAAATACCCAAAGCTGAATGGGGCTGTACTGAAATCCATCATCACGAGTGGTCCAAGATGGCACTCTTTGATTTTCTTCTGCAGGTAAAATATTTGTGGAATACAAATATCACCCTTGAAAGAGTCATTATGAGCAGAAATGGGATTTTTAGAAAAGTTAATTTCCCTTTTCTAGTAATTGGGAAAAACATGTACTTTCCCAGTTTGAGATTGTTTCTGATGGTTTCTTAATTTTGAAGAACTTAAAAACTCAACTTGTACTTAGGGGAAAGGAACAAGATCTTTACAGTTGAATTTTCTAAGAAAAGGCAAAGGCTTTTGTCTCAAGTTATGTTTACTGCATCTTTGAGGTGGGCACGTTGTTCTTCTAGTGCTTACAGTCTTAACTGGTCACTGTAAGTCACTATTTTTGCTGCCTCCCCACCTATATCCCCAGAGTAATTTCTTGAGTGAGAAAGGGTTCATACGGGCATCTTAGTCATGTCCTGTGTGACCAGAATTACCAGAATTGTGAAGGGCATTAACACACTGCCTGAATTAATAAGGAATGAACCAACTCCCTCTCTGGATGTTAATATTATTCCTTTGAGTTATCACATTACTTCAATTTATCCCTGTGTGTATCCTACTGTGTGTAGTGATGTTTGCTTTTAAAAGTACAGTAAGTGTTTATATGCATTGTATTTGATTGTTCATATAATTCAAATTTTTATAGAGTTACTTATCCTGAGACAGGAAAATCATGACTCTGCTTATGCAAGGTCTGTGTCCCTCTTCCTCCCACTTCTCGGTCCTGTTGCAGGATGAATGGCTGTTTCCGTTTTTTCGGAATTTTTGCAGACTTGTTAAATATAGAGCCTGAAATTCTATTCCAAAAATAGATTGTCACTTGTTTAATGACTCCATCTTTAGTCTCACTGTGAGTAAGTAACTTTTGGAATCTGATATAAAGTCATATGTGAGCTATAAAGATGCTAAAGATAGTTCAGATTTTAAAATATTTCCATGCCATTGTTTTCTAGTTTAACAGCTTAAAAAGTTGCATGAGCCCTGGGCTGGTTTCTGGTTTTAAGGTCTCCATGAAAAGCTTTTAAACATCATAGAACTCCTATTAGCCAGAAGGAGAGATCAATTATATCAATTATAAAATAACAGGATTGGACTATGTGTTAAAAAAAAAAAAAACCTTTAGGAATATCCAGTATCACCCAGAGTATTTTACAACAACCAATTGCCAGGCAAGAAACTGTACCAAGAAGCAAGCAAGTGGGGATGAAAGTGGGTCTGATATTTCTCCAAGATTGAATATTTATCTGGCTGCCCTCAGCCCTTACTGTTGGGTTTATCAGCTGAACATGAAAGCAATAGCAATCAAAAATGCCAAGAACCGTTTCAGGGTTAAAAATGCCAGAGCTCTAGTGTATAACACTAATAAAGTCATCAGTATTCCAGTACTTTTAGGTATCAGTTTATTCAGAAGCTTTGGTTACTTAGCAACTCACTAAATGTCTTGCAAATACTGCTCTTGGGTACCAGTGTTTGGCTTAGCACACCAGCAGACTGTTGGCTTTCAGCATTTTGATTATTTCAGGGAAAGGGGGCCATGGCTTTAATCACAGAGAGGTTTTCCTATCCATAGTTTTTGCAAATTCATCTGTATACCTCTAGATGGAAAAGGCTGAAGTCTACTCACATCTCCTTGCTTATGTGTGGGTATGTTGATGTACATACACTTATGTACCTAAAAATCAAAGTAGCTTTAATTAAGAGATTGCTGCAGAAGCTCCTTCCTTACAGTATCCTGTTCAGAGTCTGCATATATCAGCAAAATAGGGACAGCCCTTGTGGAATCTTCCTGGACAGAATCAGAATAAAATTACTGTTTGCAAAGGGATTTAATAAAAATAAATCATCACAGAAATACATTTACATGGGAGGATTTTCTTTTCCTTCTCTGTTCATTTGAGATCAAATCAGAATGAATGATGCAGACAGACTGCAATGAATTTAGAAAATGGTAAATGGCCTGTAAAAGAACTGATTCATGAAGTAAGATTAAAATGAATGTGTAACATGCCTAATCAGTGACTGGGTTGCAGAGATACAGTAACTGGCTTAAGTTTTCTGAAGAGTATGAACACCAAGAAGAAAGAGGAAATGTTTACATTGATTAAAAAGGACATTAGTGAGAACAGCACTCTGAAGTGGTTCTTAAGAGAAAAAAAATAAACAAATAAAAAAGCAACAGGTTGGTATTAGGACAAATATCTTCACAGTGTGAAGTGTGACCTGGTAAAGCAGGCAACATTATTCTTCTGAGAAAATCTGTGCTTCATGAATCATTTGCAAATATAGAGCAATGGTAAAAAATATTCTGTGTTAAACATACTCTTGCCAAAAGAGTAGATCAAGGACCATTAATAGATGTTCCCAATTTCTAATTTTAAATACTCAAACACAGGAATAGGCTGAAAAATGCTTAGATTTGACCTTTGCTTGCCACGCACAAGAACTCAGGTAAAATAAGGTCATAAGTGAAATGCTCTCTTTAGTTTTGGACCTCTTATGTACATAAATATATGACATGAAAATCAATGGTAAACCGTTAAGATTGCAACATAAGGATTAATTATTAGAATAGGCTGGAATTAATATTGTAATGATGCAAGATATTATAAAATGCTATCTTGAAGAACATGATCTCATCTACTTAGCACATGTAGTAAAGTGTAGTGAGGTTCAATGAAGACTCTAAGTTGAAGTAGCATATTTGGAGGGTCAAGAAGGATTAAAAAATAAAAAATAAAAGCTATAAATTAGCTGTTTATTAGGTTTTAGATCCTGCCAGAACTGCCAGAAACACTGCCAGAAAGCAGCAGTGCTCCCAAAGGAGAGGCAAGCCAGGAGCTAAGGGTGCCCACGCCAACCGGCCACGGCACGCCAGCACCCGACGTGGTGACAGCAACAGGTCCCAGCCACGGTCCAGCAAACACCCCCAGTGCACCAGGGCCAGTTAACGGGTCAAGCCCAGAAACCCAAAGAGCATTGAGCATTAATGAGGGCCAAGACAAGAAGCACAGAAGAAGTTCAGACCGGGAATGAGGGGCCAGGCCTGAGCTAAAATGGCGCTCTGTGCGCGGAGGCACCAGGCGGGGCCGCTGGAGCCACCTCAGGGCCTGCACAGACATCCACCCTCAAGGAGTCAACAGCAGGCATTCCAAAGAGTGATTTATCCTTCCTAATTTAGGCCAATATCCTAAAATAGCACCCCTTGCTCAGGAAGGGCCTATTTCTTGCCATTGTTGATGAACAGAATATAAATGACTAGGTCGGAAGAGATGCTTAGCACTACTAAAGTTGGATCCGATGTGCTCCTTCCTAAGTGAGTACTGTGCGTGTGAATAAGCAAGGGTTCACATGGGAAACAATAGACTAGACCACGATGTCTAGACTGGATAAAATATATAAAGTATACAGCCCAGGGCAACTTTTTGTAGCTTCTGGTGCTTTACTGTGTCCCTTACTAATCTTTTCAGTTAGTTCTTTCTGGGTATTATGCACCTAATAGAGTCCACAAAATGGAGATCCTTCACGCGTGTTAGACTGTGCTGTTTCTGTTGTACCAGAGCAGAGAGAACCTATAAAAACCACAGCCTTTTGAAAAATCTTGAACTGTATCCACCACCTTGTTAGTCCAGTCATGGCTCTAAAACAGACACAATACATGGTCTGGGAAATTGCTTCTCATGGTACATGAAGCGTAGGGACCGTGTCTTTATCTCCATTTCACTGCTGACTTAATTCTAATTGTTCTGAGCGTGTTCTCCTGGCAGCTGTATTAGTTAGAGATGCCTTTAGTGACACTTTGCCGCAAGTTTTATTGTTTTAATATTGCTTTAATTTGGCATTCTGTGGTATTTGCTTTCAGATCTATAATCGACTGGACAGAAATTGCTGTGGATTCAGACCTCTCAAGGAAGATTTCTGCATGCAGCAAGGACTGAAGCTGAAATGTAATGATCAAGATGCTATTGAGCTGACGCACATAGTTCAGAGGAGGCATGACCAAAAGCACTTGGCTTTTATAGGCAATAAGGGTTTCTTTGACAGGAATGAGGACAATCTAGACTTCAAAATACTACAAGGAATCAATGAGTAAGTTTTAAGTTATTAACTTTGTTAAAAAAATATTTTCTTCTTTTTTTTTTCCACTTAGAAGCAAAACCTTTTCTTAACATTTAGAAGAAATAAAGCAGTCTTCACAGAGGGTGCATAGGTTCTACGAGCAGAAGGGGAAGAAGATGGTCCTTCTCCCTAAACTGCTTAAAAGGGATTATTATATTGTCAGTATTGCATTAGATCCACTTTTTTTCTACCATTTTTGTATGGTGTCTTTAATAGCTTAGCTGCTTTTACTCTAAACACATTTTAATATATTACTAGTAGCATCCACGAGTTGTCAGGGAATTACAACAGAACTCCAGAAACTCTGGAGCTCTTCTGAAATTACAGAAAGCTCTTCTGAAAGCACTTTGCACTGTCGTAAATTATCAAACTGTAATGTAACAGAATGGGACATCAAGTTACTGGAATACATAACAACAGCCAAAGCCTCATTTTGTGAAATACATCTAAAGGATGTGTCTAAAAATATATGATTAATCTCACTGATGTAAAAGAGACATTTGGCCTGCATATGATCAGGCCTGCATCCAGTTCCTTTGCTGAGTCACCCTCTATATTCATGGAATTGATTGCAAGACCACAACATAAATATTGCGATTCAGAGTGATGACAAAGCTGATGAATTTCTTTGTGCTTTTCCAGATTCCCTGAATCTGCAGTTTCAGTGCTGAGGAGCCAGCGTTTACGTGAGAAGTTGCTTCAGTCTTTGTTCCTTGACAGAGTGTACTGGGAGAGCCAAGGAGGCAGGAAGGGAATTGAAAAGCTGATTGACGTAATAGAAAGGAGGTCCAGAATTCTTCTAACTTATATAAATGCACACGGAGCCAAAGTATTACCCATGAATGAATGAAGCACCCTTGTTTTCAACTGTTTTTTTTTTTCTGTGTGAAAGATAGTCTTCCCAAACCTTATTATATTTTATTTTGATCTTTCGAAACCTGAGGGCTAAATTTAGCTGTTTCAAAAGTCGATATATTTACATTGGTCATGACAGGAAGTTAGAAACAGATTGAGGAGAATACTCTGTAACAAATAACTCATTTGACCAATACAGTCTCTACCTGTCCAATACAGTTTGCAATTAGTCATGAGTCACTCGTTACGATGTAATATTTTGAGTACAAATTGTTTTGATGAGTGGATGGATCATCTGGTATTTTCCATCTATTGATTGCCTGGATTTTGTTCACAGAATCATCCTCTACTGCAATCGGCTTTGTGTAGGAATTCAGCTTTAGGTTTGTGTGAATCTGCTGCTAAGTGTACACATATTTTGGTTTTGCGAAATTCTTGACACTCATTTTCTAGAACATTATGGAAAAACAGATATAATGGTGATGTGTCATAAAAAAATAGGGCAGAAAATGTTTGCTCAGCTCTAGCCAGCAATTTAGATTCTCCTTCTCCATGAAGATTAACCACTGTGATGATTCTTGCTGATGACTTGCCCCAAGTATTCCCATAAATAAGGTTGCTAGAGAATCTCTGCATAAGCACTTCGGATTCTCAGCCTTGATCTGAGACAGTGTAACTAAGAGTATTTTACCCTATCAACTGATACAGCGTATTATCACACATGCCTTCTATCTATCTGTTTAAAAACACTTATTATCTGTATTTTTTTTTCAGATAATGGTAAAAGTTATTCACCTTCATAGCCACTCTCATCCTTATGTAGAGTAACAAAATATATGGTGTATACATTTAAAATATTTTGGAAGTGCTTATGTAATAGCATTGCTTCTCGTTAAAAGAAACTGAAATGTTTCGTGTCTATGTTAATGGGGATTGGTGAATTTAATGTCTTCAATAGCTACAATTCCTTTGCAGATAAAACAGATTCTCATTCTTAGTATATGAACACCTAATAGTAATAACTGTGTTACTAGAAGCAATAAATAGAATACGGAGAGTGAAGGATACTTAATGAAGTTGCAAGAGCTTTCCCATCTGGATCATCTTTTATTTTACTCTGTCAGTAAAGGCCAGATTCACTATCTTTTTAGAAACTTCCTGGACCTTAACTATTGCCTTGGGAATCTGGTGGACTTTTTGATAAGACTGAAGTAAAATTTTATAGGATTTAGATATCATCCCTTTATTTGAATATTGTACCCTACCAGCCAGGTAATTTGTACCATGGGAAAAAGGTGGTACTGTAGTTCACACCAGAACCGAGCAAAGAAGTGTGCTCTGGACACTTCGGGATGCTCTGCACTTCAAATAGAAATTTCCTGTTCTATTTAACATAAATTCCACTCTTTGGTGACTGTGATCACAAATTTCTCCCATTTTCTAGCATATCTCAATATTCTTCCTGCTAAGTAGCTGTTTGAGTGGATTATTACATGTGCCAAGAGATAAAGGCACAATTTTTAGCTGCACTGATCATGGACAGAAGTGAAGCTGCAACAGTCTATCTGATCATGAAAAAGCTTTTGAGAACTCTGTCTTCTAGGTTCTCCTCTGCTGTCTCTAGACATCAAATCCTGATGTCCACTCACCCTCTCATATTGCCCAAATATTAACAGCCTTGACCCATAGACACCATAACAGCCCAAGAACAGCAGAAATTAGAAACCGAGATATTTTTCTTTTTGGGTTAAGTCCTCCATTTCTGTGGTGAGAACTTGATGCATTCGTCTCTGTTTCTCCTGGACATGGACTAGTGCTTCCCAAGTGTGATACATGCTTTTTTATTTGGCTGGAAGTTTCAGTGCCAGGCCCCCAAGCCGCAATATCCTTGCCACACAGTAAGGATGAGTTTCTCTAACATCCCTGAAGCTCGACAGGAGCACAGTTTTCCAAGAGTCAGAGATTAGGAGCTCCAGGTAACCATGATAATGGTACAATGCTTTAGAATTTGGCCAAGCACGAAAACGCTGTGTGAAAAGAGTGGATATTCTGGAGAGGAATCATGAAAATGAATTCCCTTAAGAAAGTAATGGTGTTTTTTAGTGGACAGTTTTAGTGGTACGGAGCAGTACATCCTGCCTTCACCTTCCTGTGGTGCCTGAGCATTAGGTGAGGAGGCCTTACCTGCTACGCTGCATTCACACACCATTGTATTTATATTATTGTGTTCATGTAACACGTCTTCGGGCATGAGGAGACGTGGTGTGAGACTGGACTGCAAAGTATTTCTAGTTCTGTAATGGGGACGACCAACTCTGGAAAGTGCCTTTTTCCTCAACGTTTATCCTCCTGTTGTATCACTTGGTACTTGAATACAGAGTTGTTAATAATAGAAAGTAGGTTTGCTACAGTGCTTATGAATACATAAGAGCAAAGTGTATATATAGTATATAATAGAGAGCAAAAATGAAGAGTGACAAAAAATATGGACATTTTTAAGTGCCTTTATATAAATATTTCAACAGAAAAGTACACAAGAAGCACTTTGCATAGCTTGCTCATTAGCTGCAACGATGCTCAAGATGTTCTCTGTTCTCTTAGAAAAAAAAAAAGACCAAAGTTTATGGAGAAATCAGCTCATTTCCTGCAACGATGCTCAAGGTGTTCTCTGTTCTCTTAGAAAAAAGATCAAAGTTTATGGAGAAATCAGCTCATTTCCTTTTTAAAAAGGACTATGACATTGGACTGACGTGCCTGCACTGTAAGTAATACTAATTGATAGGAAAAAAACAAGTCTTACTCTACCTGTGGTGGGGACCGCCAGGCAGCTGGGAAATGGTGCTGTGCTGGGCTGCCTTCCCGCTGTGGACACGTGGGATCCGACAGGGATTCCTGTTGCACATTACTCGGAAGGGAGGAACCGAGGGCAGCCGGCCAGGACCCGCGGGTGGGAAGAGAAGATTATGTCATTCTTGAATCTGCCTAAAAGCCAGAACCACAGAAAATGCAATTACTAAGGAAGTCAAGAAGGGTTGCTGATTTCAGAGCATTGGAAGACAGAGCTTAAAATGAGTAGTTCAGACACAGATGCCTTAAAATTCCCCAGGAACTTGCCAGCAAGTCAATAATCTCAAACATTTCAGAAGCTGAGGACGTGAAAATTTTGTGGAGCACTGTGAGAGCAATTTTCTTTTTTCTTTTTTAATATGTATTCTATAATGCAGTATATTAAAGAAACATAAACTCCATGGTTTCAAAACAGCAAATATATATTTAGGGTATATTAAGTGACCATGCATTTGTGTGTATGTGATGCAAACATACATGGTATGTATATAAACCTTAGATTGTTCCTATAAAGCAGTCAGAATGTCTAGAAAAGAGTGGTTTATACAATTTGCTTTTAACACAATTTGAACTGTATTATTTGCAAGCATAAGTCCGAGTTTGGGTATACTCAAGTTGAACTTTTATAGATGCAAATCCATAAAATATTATCATGGATGCATTGAGAACTTTCGTTCTCAAACATTAGATCTCCCTTTGCTAACACTTCTATATGACATAAAAAGTCTTAAAATTGTAAAGAAAAATGCCAGTATGTTTGAAAAATGCCCATATGTTTGTAATCTGAGCTAAACAGTCAGACGACAGTGATAGTAACTCTGAGACATTTTTATGGAGTTCTACATTAGATATTGAATTTCAATTTTCTTTTGGATTTTCTGCATTTTGAAAGTCAGCATGTTTACCTTTCTATTAGCAATGTTGGAAACTATTTCAAGTAACGAATTGTTTATACAACTCTCTCTGCTGCTATGGTCATACAATGTCCAGGCATACACAAAATAAAATGATTATATTCATCGGATTTTTTAAGTTCAAATCTTTGATATGTAATAATGAAATGATAATACATTTTATTGTAATATATTGTAATATTGTAATATATGGATCATATGACAATATGATCTTTCTAAGAAGAACTATGGCCTTGCAACTGCTTCTTTGGAGAAACAAGCCAAGTGGGATTATGAAGCTCTTCCCGTGGAAACATTTTCTGGTTGTTTACTCGCAAGACTTGTAATTCTTTCTTTTTAAGTGGGAGCTTCCAGTTTCAGCAGCACTAACATTTGTATTTGCTGTCTTCCTTAGTCGTCCTGAGAACATCTCTGTACAAAAACAGTGGCAGAAAAGGCCATTTATGCTGCCCGAAAGGGCTCTTAGTAAATGAGCGGTAAACTGGCAATAGGCAGTAAGCAAGTGCAGGAATGGCAGAAAGACTCCAAAATCTACATGGAACAGAGACACAAGCAGAGTTAAAAGGAGCCCAAGAATTTCTGGTCCCTGAAGTTTATTTTTTTTTGTGATTCGAACTAATAGGAAACAAAAAAGATGTTCAAGTATCTTTAAACACTCTCTTTCTCACTTAATTTGATTTGTTTATAAAAATATTATTTATTTTTGCTTCAGGGCAAGTTCTCTCCAACATATTTCTGTAAGTGCATTATACTTAACGATGAATTATTCCCATTGTGGGGTAAAGCAGCTAACCAGATTCAATTGGACATCTGAATTCTAAGGTCAAAAGCAGATTTGGAGTGACAAATAAGAGGGAGAGCTGCTTCTTGCAGAGGTCCAGACCTTGGCATGCAGGTCTCTAAACAAATACATGTGCAGGGAAAATCCTCGTGTTTTCCCTGAAGACTATCAGCCTGTTCCACCTGTATTTCTGTGGCAGGCCTGGACAGTCCTAACACAAGTATTTCAGATCCATAGTTAAAATAAGTAGTGCAGCAGTGTCTTCCTATTGTGTCATGAAAGACACAAACTGTATTTCAAAATGACATGCTTAAAGAAATTTTCCATGGGATATGAAAAGTGGTTGATTTGGGGGTTAAATTTTCATTAAGGAATATGAAGAAAAAAAAAGCGAGATTGTGGAATGGGGTCCTCTAGTGATGGGCGCAGAGCCAGGTTTGATCATGTCCATCAGTGACAGGGAGGGC